AACCAATTAGATTGGCCTTACCAATGTCGTTCACGAATCCCCAGGACACCCAACATCAAATGTTAATGTAATGTATATGGTCTTGGCGGAAATGATCTGCTATGCTGCTGATATTGTTTCTGCTGTTGATTATTTTTAATAATCTGCCAATACAAACACTGACACGCTGAATGTAAGATATGCTGCTGTTCCACAAATAAAATTACCCGTAGATCTATACAGGTGGAGCTGGGGAAGATGAGGGGTTCAGAGGAACTACCAAGAACACTGCAAACTTTTATAGTAAACGCTAACCAGCTATTTAAATGTTGAGCAGCGAGCTCATTGGCTGCAGATGTGACAGGAACCAATCAGCTTGTGTCATGTAGTAAACAATGTAAATGTCATCAGGTTGCATTAAGGAACCATCAGTCTGCGACATCTAGAGTTTCATGACAGAACTAGGGCTGTCAAACGATTAATCGCGATTAATCGCATCCAAAATAAAAGTTTGTGTTTACATAATATATGTGTGTGTAGTGTGTATAATTATTTTGTATATATAAATACACACACATGCATGTATATATTTAAGAAAAAATGTGTTATTAATATATAAAATATTTATATATAATATTAATTACGTATATATAAAATATATACATGCAAATATTTCTTAAATATATACATGCATGTGTGTGTATTTATATATACAAAATTATTATACACACTACACACACATATATTATGTAAACACAAACTTTTATTTTGGATGCGATTAATCGCGATTAATCATTTGACAGCCCTAGACAGAACTAGAAATTTTAAAAAATATGTTTTTTTGTGGACTGTTGTCTGTGAATCGAATACTGTGAGAGAAGCTAAACAAGTTTGCCAATTTAAGTGAGGTCTGAATTTGCCTACATTTCAATCCCCAGCGGGCCACTTTATCAGTTTTATCTCTAGAGACTCTCTTAGTCTAAGTAAATCAGTGTGCCCCTGTTCACCATTACCCCTCCCCCCAGCAAAGACATAATAACCACTTCCCCACAGCTCATCAGCCACTTAAGATAATGTAATGACGTTGATAAATTACCCATAAATCTGTGCCCCGAGCATGTGCCATGCGCTCATTTGTGGTGGATGGAAATGAGGATCATGTAACTTTAAATAAATTGAATTTCCCAAGCTGGGCTTCCATGTTCAACAGACGTAATTTAATATACGTACTGGCGTTTCTGTAGATTTACCAGCTTGATAAGATTATGTACACACGGTGTAAGGTTTAAAAGTTTTGTCATCAACCCATATGTGTCAAGTTAGACTCTTTTTCTTCCAATATGCTGCGTAAATTACATTTTATCCTCAATTTCCCTGACTGTGCATTTACATGGGGGAGAAAGCTATAGTTCACCTTGGTGTTTTATCAATTAATTAAAATATTGTATTTTAAATATTTTTTAATTAAAATAAAAGATCATTTAAAAATATTTAAATTACTTTGAAATATTTAGCATAATATTTCAATTAAAATATTATTTAAGATTATCTGCACAAATATGATCAAAAATATGATTTAAAAATACTAAAAATAACTAGATCTCACCCTGTCCGGTTTTATAAGCGGACCTAAAAAAAAAAATAACAAAAGAATCCTCCTAAACAAAAGATGCATCACCTCTTAAGCTAGCCCATACAAAAGTCACCTTTCACACGCTGCATTCCTGCCCTGCGCCACACCACACAAAAAGCCCGTTCCAGACCATTGCTTCTTTTATCACATATTCTGTACTTGGCCCTATTAAAACACTCCTGCTCAAATAAACAAGAGCTTCACGGCGTTTGTGCAGGATTTGTATTCTCCACCCTGCCAGCATATGGGAGGCAGCATCTATAGGCTACATCACACCTGAATTTGTGTGCTGATTGAGGACGTATAAACACTAGGGAGATGTTGCCCAGGTAAACACTTCAAGAGAAGCAAGCTGTTAACACAAGGCTGTTGCAACAAGGTATGCCTTCTCCAGGGATGACATCAAGTGATGGGCACCCTGTGCAACACTCAAGAACAGGTCAAGGAGGAGACGTCTTTCAACACGCACGGTTTTGGCCGGTCGTCGAGCGTTGAAAAATGAAAGGTACTTGGCAGAAGTGGGCGAGATCCACTCACTTTATTAAACAAACAACAGTGAGAAATGTAAATGTTAGTGTACACACAGTAAAAAAAAAGAAGCTATCTTCTTGTTTGGACACCTGCAGAGAGGCTGTGCAAAGGTCTGCTTGACTCATGCCACTCGCCTGAGATGAAGACGGTGTTTCTGAAGGAACGTTCAGACGGACAACGTTTAAATCGCTGGAGGTTGCAGGGTCTCTGATGTTGATTAGTCGTTCCAACATTTTTCTTTCTAATAATTTATTCAAAAATGCAATTCATTGAATTCATCCCCTGTCATAAAAGAAAAAGCCACATCAAAAGAATGAAAAAGTATTTTGGCATAATTTTTTGTTATTAGTTCTTAATAATAGAAAAATTGTAATGTTTCTTTTGAAAATGGTATTACATTTTAAATTAAACCAGTATGAATACAAACAGAACATTTCTAAGAATTTGACTAAGAATTTAAACTAGATTTTCCCTTTCCTTTCGACATGTTTTACTAACGTTCCCATTAAGTTATAAAAATGTTATTTCTAAATGTTCTCTGAACTTTCAAAAGTAAAAAAAAAAGAAATTCTTGGTTATGTAAACGTAAAATGAACATTCCATTTTATCGTTTTGCGAAACATTAACGTTACTTTTGAATGTTCTCTAAACATTTTGAAACAAGTTACATAAAAAAAAAAACATCCAACTAAAAAAACATTCCATTAACAATGTATAAAAAATGTTTTTGTGCTAACGTTTTGAGAACATTAATAAACAAACAATATTAAGTTCTAACGTTACTAGAAGAACATTTGTTGAGCCCATGTTGTCGCCCACACTGTAAAAAAAAGTTGCTGGCTTAAATTTTTAAGTACAATCAACTTGTTGGATGTTTAAGTCATTTCAACTTAAATTACATCAAACTGACTTAAGTTAAATCTCGTATAACTTTTTCAACTAAAAAGTTGAAAATTGCTTAACTTATTTTGATGAGGTAAAGCAATGTAAAAACATATGTTTTCATAACTTATTGATCATATCAATTTTTACAGTGCATGTCTTTAAAAAATGAATGACTTATCGTCACTTTGACGATGTAAAATGCTGTCAGTGTAAACTTTTTTTTAAACTTTTCTTTTACAATCTAAAAATGTACTGCTCAATATACTCATTAAATTACAGCACACTTGGACCAGTCCATGAAACCTTTCTTCATGCCTCATCTGAAACGGAGACTCCTTTGGGTTTAGGGATTCTCGCTTTTTAGCCAGGCCTGAGAGATATGATGAGACGTGCAAGTGTCTCTGCTTCCTATTAACCCAGGCATTTCCTCGCTATGCACACCCGTTAAACATCCAGAGATAGCACAAACGTGCTGGCTTCATTTCACGCCTCTCTGTTTTATTGTTGACGAAGAGCTTGAGCAGATGTCCTCGTTATCTTTGAAGATTCCTGCACGGCCAGCGTGATAAATTGGCAACACGCATAGACAAACTGACAAAAAACACACAAAACCAAACTCACGCAGATGGAACGGCATCCTTTCCAACCTTGAATTTTCTACTGACGGAAAACTGGTCCAGGCCTACTTCACGTTCTCTCTCTTTCTGTGAAGAACCAAATCCAATGTCTTTATGTGTTGCACCATCTGTGCAAAACCACAAGGTCTTTTATCTTTTTCCAGCTGTGGATGAGCACTGGATGGAGAGGGAGTGAACAAGAGAGGTAAGGATCTCTCATCTGATACGCACATTAGTTCACTGGCACACATTCTCACCACTATAACTGATCCAAAAAGATCCCAGAGAGAGCGTTTGCTGGAATTATCAGTTGTAATGGATGAAATGATAAAGGGTCCAGTAGTTTGGACCAATTATTTGAATCAAATTATTGGAGAGAATTCACAGTTATGTCCAATAAAATCGGTACAAACAAACAAAAATAGCTCTCAATGTATAGGTGTCAATGCAATTCAATATATTTGTAAATTGGTATTGTCTTTCTCCTTTTTAGATTTGAAATATAGCAGTATTGGTGTTTTTCAAGTGCACTTACGCTACTGATACCCTTCAAAGCCCTAACCTGTGTCTCTTTATGACTCTTTATGGTCTCTTGACACTTGTGTCACTTACAAGTTATTTGTAAAGCAAATGATTTACAGTCGACACACTGACAGATAAATCATGTAAAACAATGTCAAGAGCTCCCTCAAAATAGAAAGCCAAAATACCTGTCAAATACCATTTAGGTTAAAGAGGACAAAATGTAGAATCACTTATTTGAATGGATATATTTATCAGCAATCCGGATTAAAGTAAGGGTATTCACATTATTACATAAAAGAAAGCCCTATTCATTTTGTCACTATTGCTGAGGTAACTTCATTGATGCCTATTTGACAATAAATTCAACATGAAATAGTAAAAAGGTGTGACAAAGTAGGTTTTACACAATAATAGCTTAATTCAAGAAAAGAAAAGTATTTTAAATGTGACCTAATAACAAATAAATAAATAAATAAATAGATCAAAACAAAAGTTTCACTCTCATGCTTTACATTCTATATAATATTATATTAAAATAATATATTATATTAGATAAGATTATATAACATTATAAAAGACATCTTGCCCTGAACATTGTCCCTTTAAGATGAGATGAGAGTGAAAGAAGGCGGTGCAGTTTCGCACTCTGGGTGGGAAAGATGGGCGGGGCTTAACACGAGGTGACTGACAGCTGGGCCCTGGCACGTCCCAGAGCCAAAGCAGCCAATGAGATCCAGAGCTCGGCCGTCAATCATCCTCCAAGCACCAATCGGGAAGCAAAATTAGGGAATCTTTATCACTTATTATGTATCCAACGTGGGACGAAAGAACGTCTAAAAAGAAAGTAAAGTCCGGGAGGGGGAAAACAAGCGGTGGAAGCGGTCAGAAGTGCGAACTGAATTTGTGAATTATCGGAGTTTTCGGACCGTACAACGAGATCAAGATAAAAGCTTCCCAGCTCCTTTAACCGCGAGCAGGACTGCTGGAGAGAGAGAGAGTGAACGAACGAACGAACGAACGAGAGCAGCAAAGTTCACAACAGTCGGACGGATTTACTGGAACGGTTACGTTTCAAACGTGGTTTATTATAATTCATTACAGTGATCCAAAATCCTGTATTCGCAGTTCGGAAACTTTATATCAAATCCGCGAAGAAGCGAGAGCCTCAAACTTTTTAAAGAGTGCGGTTTTCCCTGAGGAAAAGTTTTTTTTAAAGCGCCGATGATCCCAGATTTTCTTTCAGCGCGCTCGTATGGAGTTAATGGACATGATCTACCATGTTTTTACTTTTCATAATAATGAATCACTTTGGATCGAACCATTATAAGAACTTTTGAAACACTATTGCCGATTAAACTCCTCAAACTACATTTGATCCAGTGGATCTCTCTTGCCAAAACAAAGCGCCTGTCTATCTCCCATCCAGACCCACTTTTCAACCTTTTAAGGACAACTGCATTTAGTTTTGGCTTCTGGACAAGTTTCTTCTATTGCCTCGTCGTGATTCACCTTTGATTTAACGTTACTTACGTGGTGCAGCAGGGGAGATAAAATTTTACTGGGGACCTTTTTCAAGTCCAGGACTGATGCATTGCCCAAAAACAACGCAGTATAATGTGATATTACCGTTGGGTAAACAAACAACTTAATGAAGGCGAATTACTCGAACTCTGAGAAACTCAATAAGCCCGAGCTGTCCGTTTGTGGATGAGAGAGAGATCAGTGGTTAAGCGCTGAGACAACTGGATACAAAATGGCGGCGTGGCTGGGACAGATGGGATCACTTTCATATCATGTGTTTTATTGGCTTTTGACACTGGAACTGCTAATCAATTATGGCGCACCGTGTCCTCAAAACTGTACGTGTACGCTTGATACGACCGACTGCAGTCGTTTGGACATGACCGATGTCCCTCAAGACTTGCCTAAGAGCACTGTGCATCTGTAAGTACACAAACTGTCCCGTCCGAACGAAATAACTAGTTAAAATCACATTCTCTTCAAACTAACAAGATTTAAGTTCTTTAACAACAGTGACTGAAGTTGTCCATGGAAGAAACTGACTCAAAAGTCACAGAATAACAAATGACCATGCTACATAGTTATTTCAATTACTTTTAAGTTATACCAGAGGTTTTTCCTTCGCATTAAAATCATAACAAGGTATTAGTTATAAGTATTCTCCGGCCTGGTTGTGAACGGCCAGGTTATGACTTGCTACTAGTTACTGTCATAAGTTTGGAAACTCTGACAGGCAGTTTTGGGAGGCCTGCTGACTGATATGAGTCGAAGGCATGAAGCAACGAATTCAGTTGTGCATTTGCTGGGAAGTAATTATGTACATTGAAGTCACATTTTAAATATTGTTGGACTAGTGTACAAGAAAAAACAAATGATAAAGCTTATAATAATTCAATATCTCTCCATGGCTGTGCTCAGAAAGTTTATGTTTCTGAGAAAACAGGATTGAAATCTTCTTAAAAGTTAAAATGTTCAGTTATCTATATCTCTGAAAGGTGTTCCCTTCAGATATACTTTTCATAAACTTTGCAGTTTAGTCATGTGGCGTTGATAATGCAATTAAGTGATTGATTTATCACATTTTATTTGGTCTGGTTTTCCCTCAAAATTACCCTATATTAAGTTTAACTAAGATGGTAGATCAGCGGCAGAAGCTGTTTTATGGTTATCTGACAGAACTCCCAGATATATTTTAAAGTTTATATTTTGAAGATATAATATTTGTTGGAAACATCATGCAGCAAATGTAAAAAGTCTTCAACATTTTTCTGCAAACCTGACATCACTTTTAAAGATTGGTGGAGTTTTAAAGAGAAAGTTTGGTTTTAGTGTAATGTATCTCTAGACAGCCACTAAGGTTTTATCTGTTCGTATGTTTGAGAATTGAGATCACAATCATATCATTTTCAAAGGGGAATATTTTACTCCCCAGTATTATCTTTAACTACTTTACTGCATGTTTCAATGCTGCAAAGATATCCGTTTTGTCAATTTCACAAAGGCAGCTCCCTTGTTTTTGTCAGGTTTAAAAGATGGTTATCACACAAGTTTAAACACGGAAGCATCAACTGAAGTCACAAGCTACCTGTTTTGCATTATATATGATCCAATTTGTCAAATTTTAGTCAGGCCTGGTGCGTTAGATACTTCATTGAGCCTTATTTGAAATAAACGGAGACAAATACAACCACGGATAACTTTATGAAGATGAAAAGGCTACCAAGGGTTGTTGGCATAATCGTTCTTTGTCTGATAGGACCGTGAAACATTCATTACACAAGATATCAGGCTTTAGATGGGAATGATTGGGCAGGTAGATCTGTTGATGTTCTGCCTCAAGGACTGTCTAACCTACTGCTGAGTAATTTGACCTGGTCTGCGTGAGTGCTTTAGTCCGTGGCCCTATACCATTAAAATGCTTAAAGCGATTTCAGTGGAAAGCTAATGTTGTGACATATTTCTGAGCAAATTGGTAAAGAGTGGTCTCTATTTGACAGGTGGTTGGAGGGAATAGGCTGACAAATAAGAGGGTTTGGTGACGTTGGCAAAATAGGAATGTTTTTCACAAATGAATTATCAAAATAATTTGTACTAGGAGAGTATGGTCTCAATTTTGATTTCATGATGATTTTTACTGTTGTTTCAGATACCAATTGTGCGACTGCAGGAAACTTCTGATTAGCACAAAGCACATTTAATAATTAATTAATTTTGTATTACACTGGCAAATTGGTATGTTGAACCATTTGAAATGTCTTAACGTTTATTAAACTAGTAGCAGAAGTGGTTAAATCGCTTTTGACTGAAAGACAACACTTTTATTTTTGCAGATGATAACTTTTTAGATCAAACAACAACAGCATTAACCCCAAACAACTGGCTTGTGTTGTTGTTAACCAGTGGCTGCTTTTCTCTCAAAAGCTTAGGGCAACTGTGGTCTTTCATAAATGCTGATTATTTATCTTCATTAATCCCTACAACTGTCCCTATTCACATGTCACTATTCATGTTTAGAGCTTTTGTACGCCTCTCTGGCAATTCACAAGTAGTCAAGGCGCTTGTGACATCAAACCTGTTGCTTGCGTAACCATGCTGCACAAACCCGTCCAAGGAGCGTCAAACACCGTTTCCAACATCTTAATGTCCCTTTATCGTCTGCATTCCTGTTGACAGATCCAACAGAAGCTGGATTTTAAAGTTATAGGCTAGAGAGATTTTTGGGGTTGTCCATCTGCAATATATCAATCAAGAGTAGAAAAACCTTTGGTTGGAAAAAACCCTGAGGACATAGCCTGAGTATAAAATCAAGCATTAATACCTTCCAGTTGTCCAAATAGTTTCTCCATACTGCCCATTTAAAAAAAAAAGTATTTAATGGTTCCCCTGTGGCTTGCAGAGACCTTGATGGCGAATAGGAAGCTGCGAGGTGTTGGCATCACCATCTCGCACACAAGACTTTGTGGATTTAAGTTAACTTTGAGATATGGGCCTTAAGACTCCATTAAGATAAAGGCTGATGGAGTTACTCAAGGTGGGGCTTAAAGGGATAGTTCACCCAAAATGAAAATTCTGTCATTTACTCACCCTCAAGTTGTTCCAAACCTGTCATTCTTTCTTTTGCAGAACACATATTTTGAAGAATGTTGGTAACCAAAGAGTTTTAGTGACTATTGACTATTGTATGGATAAAAAAAAAAAAAAAAAAAGCACTGAGAGATTTCTCAAGTCATCATCTTTTATGTTCCACAGAAAAAAGTAAGTCTTATAGGTTTAAAACAACATGAGTGTGAGTAAATGATGACAGTTTTCATTTTTGGATGAACTATCCTTTTAACCTGAGAGTGGAGACGGTTGAATTAACTGATGAATGTTATGAGTAATCTTACTGGCTTCACAGTCCTCCATCTGCGAATTTGAAAAAGTTGTCTGAATTCCTTGTGAATTATTTTCCATTAAAAATGTTTCCTGCATCTGATCCATCTGAAGTAAAGAATGGCAAAAAAAAAAAATTAAGCAATTTCGCACTGACCCTTCAGCATTCAGGATAAATGAGATACATTTCTAATTAAATAGCTTTTTGATTTTCTCTGTTTATTTAGTGTGCTTGCTGTGAAGACCGAGGTGATGGAAACAGTTTGGCTCGATATAACGAGCCATATGAGTCTTATTTCTCAAAGTAAACTACAACGACCCTTTGGTGGCCCTCCTGATTGTTTTGAAAGCGGAGGGGGTGGTGGTTGGTTTGTATGTGCAACATGGGTTGCCACATGTGTGAGTGTAGTTTGGCCCCCTCTTTTAGGGTCGGTAAACAGCCCGCCAGATTTTTCTCACCACCCTGAAGGGGGATTTATGTACTGGTCTTTTCTTTATGGTCCCTGTCACCTGTTGTGGAGCCGCTGCGTAAACCTGTATGTGAAGGGAGTGGTGCGTCTTTGGCCAGGCCACAAGAGTTAGTTCAATGTCACGGTCCATTGCGTTCCATTGACGAAACTTCTAGATCTTGATCTGCTTCTCCGACCCATTGTTTATTCTTTCAACGTGTGGAAACCAGTCAGAGTATGTCATCAGCAGTCGAACTCGTTTTTGATGCTTGTTCATTTCGTTATCTGAGCAGTATGCTTTTATTAATCCCGTTGCTGTAGACTTGGGCTGCATTCAAAAACAGCAACTCGCATTCTAGATTTTTGACAGCATAACACAAAACATATGTAAAAGCTGAGCTGGTTTGCTCCAGGTGTGTGCAGTAGCCTGGAGTGGAGTTTGCTTGCGTTATCGGATTGTGAGTTAAAGGAGTGCCTTGCCGTGTTTAGCTTGGCCTGCATGGCACAGAGGTTAACGGCACCTTCCGTTAGCACTGCTCATGAGGACTTTCCATGAATTCAAGGACTTTTTATCCATTGATTTATGCCCTGGTCATTTTTCGTCTGTTAACGTGCTTAAAACACAAGACTAGCCATTTAACGGTGAACTGCGAGTGGGATATCTTCCAAAACCCTGCGTAAGTGCAATTTGGACTAGTTTAGTTGAAGATGAGTGTTATGTCTCGGTTAGGGGAATGGCAGCCACAGAATCGAAATTCCAACAGGATCAAACAAATATTCCAGATTCTCTTTCTGTTGAGACACATTTGAGCACCTCCTTCTCTCCCCTCCTTTGTTTAAGTGTCTAAGAAGTGATGGATGACTCATCTGTGAATTCTGTACATCTGGTAAGAGTTTGGAGATCTGGAAAAGACATAAAAAAGAGTGAAAGAAAGGGGAGGGGTGAGAGAATTGGAGAGAAACAGGCCTTATAGAGCACCCCCTGCACATTTGGTCTGGAGACTAAAATCACTATTTATACATTCTGTGGAACCGTTACTGACAAACTACCCCCTCTAACCCCAAACTGCATACTTTGCAGAGGTTTTATAGCATTATACCTTAGTGAGCAGGCATATATGTAGATATATTCTGTCGATCAAGGATTTAGCAATTTTTGTGATCATGAGGATTAATGTAGTGTGGGTTTTGTTCCCGAATTTGTTTTTTTTTTACGTTTCCATGTTTAACTGCCCTGCTGCTGTCTTGTAGTTGTAATAATGATGATGGTAATAATAATACAAATATATACACCTCATTGTGTCAAAATAGATTGGTCAATATCAGCGAAGACTTAATTTTAGTTAGTAATTGTAGTGAAATTGAAATTTTTAGTAATTTTAATGCATTTTGTTTAGGGCTGTAACGATTCCTCGATTTAGGTCGAGTACTCGATTTAAAAAAATCCTCGATTGCAATTTACCCGTGTCGAGTAACCGGCAAAATACCGGAAGTGGCGCGTTTCACAGACAAGAATCCATGAACCGCATTATTACACTAAGGTTTTCTAAGGCTACGCGATATATTTTAAACTATTTACAATCATAATATAGCATAGTGCTA